TGCTCTGCTCTGCTCTACTCTGCTCTGCTCTACTCTGCTCTACTCTGCTCTGCTCTGCTCTACTCTGCTCTGCTCTACTCTGCTCTGCTCTGCTCTGCTCTGCTCTGCTCTACTCTGCTCTGCTCTGCTCTGCTCTGCTCTGCTCTGCTCTGCTCTGCTCTGCTCTGCTCTGCTCTGCTCTGCTCTGCTCTGCTCTGCTCTGCTCTGCTCTGCTCTGCTCTGCTCTGCTCTGCTCTGCTCTGCTCTGCTCTGCTCTGCTCTGCTCTGCTCTGCTCTGCTCTGCTCTGCTGTGCGTGTGTGTTCGTATGTGCCCGACACCGGCCTTTGTTTTCAAATGACCATGAACATTAATTTACACACATCTGGCCAACTCCATAGGTATATGTGTGTGTTCCCAAGTGAAGAAGTTTGTTTAATCTTAATCTCGATGTAGTGCTCAGTCCTATCGGAGTGCACCGGAACAAACGACACTTTCATAATAAGAAAGGCACATCTCTCCTACTTGACGAACCGGTAACTTTCTTGCATGAGATACTTTCTTTATTTTTTTCATGACCCTTTAGGTCAGGGGTGGGGAACCTTTATCCTCTCAAGGGCCATTTCAATTTTTACAACATCTTCCGAGGGCCGTACAAATTATTGAACTCAACGTCTGCTTAAATAAACTAAAATCACAGCCCATTCATTTCGCCATTCTTTCATGCTGTGCAAAGAAAAAGCAATCTCTTAATCCAGATATCTTACCATGACTCGCGCACGCATGCACGTGCACGGTTGTGGCATGACCACCAAAACAGAAAGATATGGACACAAGATGTGTGCAAATGTATTTAGTTGCATATCCATGTGAACTTGATTTAAGTGGGGGGGACCTAACCTCCTCTAGAGGGGACCTAACCTCCTCTAGGGGGGTCCGGGGGCATGCTCCCCCAGGAAGATTTTTTTTTAAATGTTGAAGTTAAAAGCATCCATCTGGTGCACTTTGAGAGCAACATTAGGAGATCTATGGAAACATCTCTCAGCATCCATATGAAACAGAACTGAAAGCAGATTTTCTTTTTCTTTATGGATATTTTACAAATCACTCCCCTTTCAAACTGTATTCTTGTTTATTAATAATAACTTTTTTGTACTGTCATATAGTATTTTATACGAGTTTTTCCTTTATTCTCTTGTTTTTTTATAACTATAATGATCATATAAAGTTGTGCCTTTACTGGTTGTAGAAAAAGCTTCTTATATTCGTTAGCATAGTGTGACGACCCCTCCACACCACGTGGGGTGCCGTCTGGTTGTGTGTGTTTTCTGTGTGGTTGCAGGTCCCAGCTGCAATCTGTCTGATGGGGCGCACCTGCCGGGTGAGCCACGCTGAATAGGATATAGGAGGAGCAAGCCAGATACGTCGCTCTCACTCCTCTGGGCACTCTCTCCGTGCCAGCCTCGGGGATCTGTGGCTGGTTTTTTCATTACATTGTTTATAAGAGAATAATCGATTGCTATTTTCTTACCTTTCGTCTCGCCTCCCTGCTTTTTGTTGCAACCCAGGAGCCGGGTTGTAACAATAGCTAGCTAACCAGATGCTAATAACAACAAAGTTATTGACTGTATGATCAGTATGACAGATGAACAGATCGCCACTGGGTTTTCAACTAAAGACACAGCCACGCAAAAACTGCGGCATGTGTACAGCTCCTTATATAATTATATCCTTATTATGGGTACTGCATTTTGTGAAGTCCCGGCCCGGGGCGGCGTTCTGGTGCTCTCCGTCAGAACTACACCCTGGGCCCTTCTCACTTCGGTTAAATGGATTCCTTGCGTCCCTCACTTGCGTCGTTTCCCTGCGACTAGTCCCTCCCACCAGGGAAGCATGGAGAGATGCAATGAAACCACGAGAAGCAGGGAAATGAGTTTTAAGAGCAATGGGACGCTTTCCTCCGGAGCGTCACGTGAAACGACGTCCGTTTGTGATGACGCTGCACAGCTGATCGTCTGACAGCAGCCAGCTCTGTCCCCGTTATTTCCACAAACACCCCGCCTCTGTTAGTACACATTTACTGACACAATCATTTGTATCATCTGTTCAGTGGCGGCGCCAGAGTATTTTTGTTGGGTAATCTATGGTAGGGCTAACCCATACAGTGGTGGGGCTCAAGTCAGTATTTGTAATGTAATTACACGCTATATCGCATCCCTTGACAGTGAAACGCACGCGTGAGGCTTTTATTAGCTTTTATTAGTCTCCTTTTATCAGCTAAATTACATCGAGAGCAACAGGTGTGAGTTAAACAATACAATAGCCTATTCGGCTAATTCCACGTTGTTACAACATGCTATGCAGCGGCAGAAACAAGAAAAGTTGGCATATAGAATTGACACGGAGAGAGAGGGAGAGAGACAGAGACACAGGTAAACAGAGAGAGACAGACACAGCACACAACAGGTAGCCTATCTCTATTGTCATACAAAACACTTTTTCAAATGACCCATTATTACAAAATATATTCAAAACTCACTATTCACTCTTCAGGTGGGTCGTGTGACTCTGGCACCTGTTCGACTTGTACCTCAATGCGAGGGCGTTTAAGAACAAATCTATCCATCCGAAATATACAATTAATCCTAGAAGTTCTGCTGTCTGTCTGCAATTTACTCGGCGCGAGTTTGGGGACTTTTCACTGTGAACGTGACGGATCAGTAATGCATGACGCAGCAGACCCAACGTTTCGTTGCTCTGATTGGCTGTAGGTCTATTCAAATTGCATTCGGAGGCATTTTGATCTGACCGCGGCCGCGCTGATATTATAACGCGAGAGAATGTCCACACCTTAAACTCCCCCACTACTTAGTCTATTCCTTGCACCCCTCTAGCATAAGCCCGAATGGTCTCAACCATATTGCGTCAGTAACGTGCACTTGTTGTAACAGCAGGATATATTTTATGTGCAGCTACGATAAGTAATAAGGGTACTTTTATCTTGAGTTCTGTGTCAATGTCCGTTAGCATTTTTCGCTCAGGGGTCATTTAGATGCTTCTTATGTTTTGTTTTGGTAAACATGGTTTGTATCGTCAGTTAGCTGAGATTATTTCCGTAAATCTGGTATAACACATTAATAGGTTCTTAAATATTAAGATCCCCTGAGACACAGTATCGTGAAAACATTTTTTTTTACATTACGTTTTTTTTACATTACGTTATTTATGAATTGAACAACAGAAAAATAATTGTTAGATTAGTCGACTAATCGATCAAATAATCGCCCGATTAATCGTTTTCAAAATAATCGTTTCCCCCCAGCACTATCAATGACAGGGTAGAAAAAGGCTGTACGAAACCCGTGTTTATCTTGTTCTGTCTCTCTCTGTCCAACAGTAGGCTAGTCAGTACGAAGCTTTCAGCAAGTTTAGAGCTCAGTCGTTTTTGTCGTTTTTCTGCTGGCTGTATTGCAGTATCACATTGCTCAGAAATGTTCAACACTTCATCCCACAAGTTATCAAAAAATGACTCCTGCCTGAAGTCATTCAATGTCTGAACTAAAGATCCAACTAAATCCACAGCCTTTGAAAGGTCAAGGGATGAAGACTGTAACATGTCAGAGAGAAATGTTGTTTCTGCAAACACTTTACGGAGTGTTACAAGATGCACAATGAATTCTAGATCCAACTGTGCCAGCAGACCACGTGCCTCAATAGATCTCTCACCATTGCGTTCTTGGGCTATGTCTTGCAGTACTCGCTTGAGGGCCGGTAATCTATCCATAATGTTAATGTTTCCATTATGCTACAATGATGGGGAGTTGTCTTTTCTCTTACTGTGCCACAGAACAACACAAACACTTGTATTTGTATTGTTATTATTTTTAAAGTAAAGTAACTTGTTACTAGTTACTTTTACAATTTAGTAACTAATAAAGTAACTAGTAACTTGCTCAACACTGGTAATAAATCATATATATATATTTTTTTTTCACTTTTCATTTTTAGGGGGGCCACAGGCCAGTGTTAGGGGGACACTGGCCCCCCTGGCCCCCCCTAGAACCGCCCCTGTGTAGCACATTAACATTTTAATAGCACTTAATGACTGAATGGAAATGACAATAAATGAAAATGTAAAACGAAAAAAGTGATCATGAAAATGTTTCCAAAAAATGAATAAAATGATTTTTGAGCACTTGTTCAGATATATCACATATTTGTAACTAAATGATACATGAAATGAAACAAAACATGGTATAAACTGAGGAGTGACTCTCGTGAGGTTCATGTGTTTTCTTCACTCCGCTGGGAAACGGCTCTCATGTCAAGAAGCATCAGATCAGTGCATGCACTGCCTCGTCCAATCAGTGAGCGATACACAGTAAGGGGGCGGGGCGAGTGTCTGAGGATTTCATCGGAGAATGGTCTGGTGGTTCCTCGGTTATCGCTCCTCCATTATCGCTCCTCGCTCCTCTGGCAGAAATAAGGCCATTGGGACGCTACTCAAGATGGCGCAGACAAATTGACTTCCGGTGAGACCGAGGAGCGAGGAAATGAAAAATAATAGAAGTGAGAAGGGCCCCCTGTCAGACGAGACATATACCACGTGATGACACGTTAGGCTCGTGTTGTGTTCAAGGACCCTGACCGTGGCCAGGAAAAACAGGCACTCGCTTGTTTCATTATTTTGCGGTCTAGATTTCTTGAATTGTTTTCTATTTTGCGTGTGTTTATAAATTACCTCGAGGGCCGTACCAAATGGTCTCGCGGTCCGTATACGGCCTGGAGGCCGGAGGTTCCCCACCCCTGCTTTAGGGGCTCCGTAAACAACCCTAATAAATATATGAAAAAATGTGTTGGAGAGTTGGAATTTCATCCAAAAATATCTAACCACACTTTAATTAATCTACTCAAATATGTCCTCATGATGTTATTCTTAATTGATTGTAATTCTTATCTCTCTGTAGTGCAGGTCTGTCAACATATATTGTTTTAAATTGATCAAATTGTCCTGTTACTGAAGGTTGCTGTCCGACAAGGAGGTGCTGTGCTCATCAAGGTCTCCTCCGACTGTGAGCTGGACATTGATCACAGTTACAGTGTGCACTGTGAACCTGAGGGCTTCTTCATTCAGCCTAAGGTGAGTCACTGATGCTCCTCTAAAGAAACACAATGATCATTAACACACATGTATCTGCATGTGGATCCACAATCAGGAAAGAAACAGATAAACATTTCACTTCTGCTTCTGGTTTTCAGAGTAAAACATTTAAATCCATGTTTGGACCAAACTACCATCCGACATTTCAAGTGTCCCTGATGACAAGCACAGAGAGAGTGGTTTTGAAGGTCCAGGACCAAGGTGGAAATGAAGTCTGGATTTATCGCGTGTCACTGGAAGGTAAAGACTCCACCTGAGCTCAGACCCAGTGATAGACTGTTTAACTCTAAAGCTCCATCTCATAGCCTTCTCTATTAAGACTCCATGGCAGCGTATCATTACGACATTAAACACACAACCTGTAATATTCTAAAACTATAGTAAAAACTAGTGTGGTGGTGAAACAGCGTGGCATCATGGGAGTTGTAGTCTTCAGCTTCTCATGGTTAAGTGGATAAGCCGCAGTTACAGGAGACCGTGATGAACGTACTGTTACCTTGATTAAAATGACACGTCTCTCTGAACCATTTGGGATAATGTACGAACATAATATAAATAATACAGGTGTAGGAGTTTTTATACATTATAATGAGGAAATGTTACATATTGTAGCGACCCTGCTTAGGATGTCCAGGGTGTCACTCAGGCATCCCCCGTCTCTCTGCCAATCATAGAGCTGCACAGTGATGCTGGTTGAGGTGTCGGCCTGTGGTTGAGGGAGCAGACGGGGGAGGGCGGGGAGTTGTGACGTAGACACTGCTATATATATATATGTGTAGGGGTAGGAGTTGTGTTAGTGTGAGGTAGAACACACAAAGTGTACATGTACCTGTGATCATCTGTAAAGAACAAGAGTTATTAAAGCCTAATAACGAGAAGCCTGTTTCCGACTCACCTTGTGAACGCTACATTGGTGTCAGAAGTGACTTTTCGAACGGAGGACGTCTATCCTGACGGGAGTCCGTAACTGCGTCACGGAGCTAGCCGGGAAGCTAGCGGAGATGGAAAAGTTCAGCAAGATGGGAGTGAAGCAGGAAAGTAGTGATGAAGAGGAAGATGGAGCATGCGGGTGGTCGAAGGACATGAGTAGAGAGTTCATGAGTGCACGGGAGGCGAGAGAGCGCCTGAGAGAGTCGGCGGTGAAGATGGCTAGAGACGCGGGAATGTCGCCGTCGTCAGCGGCATTTCGCGTCATTTCCAAGCTGGATGTCAACAACAATGGCGGCGCCCATCAACCAGCAGCAGCCGCCGCCGGGTCCGTGAAAACACCCAAATACTCGGGTAAGGCAGACTGGGAGGCTTTCCATGCCCAATTTGAAATACTTGCACATGCCGGGGGGTGGTCAATAGAGACTAAAGCACTACAGCTAGCTTTGTGCCTCACAGACGAGGCTCTTTCATGTCTGCTACTGCTTAGCCCTGTGGACCGACTCAGCTATGAAGCGTTAGCGGGGGCTTTGAAGAGGCGGTTTGGACAGTGTTTCCCGCCAGAGCTGCTCCGGAACGAGTTGAGTAACCGCTGTAGGGAGTTTGGAGAGACGCTGCGTGCGTTGGCTAACAACGTGGAGAGCCTGACGCGGCGGGCGTATGCACACATGCCACCCGGAGTGCAGAGTGAGCTGGCACGTGATCAATTCATCAGGGCTCTCCGCCCTGCGGACTTGAGGGTCGAGGTACAGCTGCAGCATCCACAGTCCTTGCAGGCGGCCTTGGAGATGGCTGTGGAGAGAGAGAACGTGTGGAGTGGAGCTGCTAGGAGCAGCGGAGTGCCGGCAGCACCGGCTGTGAGGAGCTGCAGGGAGGAGGAGAAGCCTGCATGGGTTACCGAGATGACGGAAATGATAAGGGCTGTTTCTCTGCAGCCAACACACAGACCAAGTACCAGGGTCTGCTGGGGGTGTGGTCAGCCAGGAAATTTGGCCAGAGACTGCCCCAAGGCACCCCGGGCCCAGGGAAACGACGGGGGGCCCGCATAAAGGAGAATATGTGGAACCAAGCCCAAAGACTCCCCAACCAAACCACAGCTCTATTGCCACCGACTCAGACATCCGAGGAAGGAGCCCGACAGCACAGCCTCTACGCTCTCCTGAAGAAGATGACAGCACAGGCGTGGAGCCTGTCGTCGCGGTGGGCCGTGCTGGTGGGGACTCCTGCTATGTCCCTGTCGATGTCGAAGGGGTGCCCTGCGCTGCACTGGTGGACACAGGCTCTACAGTAACCCTGGTGAGAGCAGATGTGTTGCCCAGTGGGACTATGTTCGAGCCGACATCGGTGCGTCTACGCACAGTCACAGGAGAGTTGGCGGCTATGAAAGGAAGAGGCGTGCTGTCTGTGTCGGTGGGGGAAGTTGAAGTGCGGCACCCCGTGTGGATAGCGGATGTACAGGACCCGTGTATTCTGGGTTTGGACTTTTTGAAGGCGACTCCTGCCTCCTGCATCTTCAAGCAGGCACAGTGAGTTTCCGGGGGGGGGGGGGCCTGTGATTACTATGACCCGTATCCACAACCCTGCTGAGCCTGCGGGGAGACCCCCTACACCAGGCATCCTCAAACTACGGACTCCGGTCCGGATCCGGACCGAACCACCACTGTCTCCGGACTCTGAGCAAATTATACTTTTCATATGTATTATCTCTCTGTATTATATGTGAGACATCGCCACAACGCATTCGCAACGAGTCAAAATTCTCCGCTATGTCCACTGCAAACAGCGCTCTGCATGTCTGACTGTTCCACTGTGTTCCACCTGTGTGAGTCAACGCTTTGGTCCAATCACATTCAGCATCCAGTCAGCGTTTTTTCCCCCCAAACAATCTGCGAATCAGAGGCACAGTAGGGCGGGTCTTCGCGGAATGCGGGTGGAAAAAATGTGTGTATCTCTTTCAACCTGTCTAAGTCAGAGCGAGAATTAAAAAAAAAAAATTCAGAGCGAGAGTTAACAGCTCATCTAGTTCCATCTGTACTGTAGCTAGTAGCCTAGTTTCACCTACCGGGGTGGCAACTGACACCCTAAAAATAGGCCTTGCCACCCCAGTTGGCAGCTTTGTTTTGAAAGAAAAGTTGTGGCTCATCGGACATTTATGAGAGAAAGTCTCTAATGTCCGAGTGCAAGTGAATGCAGCACAAGATGCACGTCATGTAACCCCTCCCCCGGTCCTGGCGCGAGCGTGGACATACGATTGGCGGCGATTTCATTTTGAACTGGACGGCGCAAAACGAGAAGCATTCGGACCCAAGCGCTGAAGGAATGAGGTAGTTGCGGTCTACACTGACAGAGAAGAGACTGTCAGTGCGGCTGTACTCAGCAGTGAATCAAAACGCACTAAAGCTGTTGATCTTAATACGTTTGTGAGGCGTTTTGCTGAACAAAATGGTAATCGCCGCATTCAGCTGTAATAGACATGTCAACTTGATGCTCTGCTCACGGATGAGCATACACAACTATTAAGATGATGACCTTACGTGTGTAAATATATTTTTTTCTTTGAGGGGGTCTGCCCCCAAAAAACTGTTTTAAGTCCTGAGAAAGTCAAATAAGACGGTGTGTAAAACTACACTGCCCAGCCAAAACAAAGTAACCACTTTGATTGAACTAGGCCAGCAGGTAAGGGCTTTCCACTGGATAATAACTGCAGTATAAAAGAATGCATGACTGAAGTGATGGAGACCATGTTGAAGGCAAACAAAAGAGGAAATAACAGGTCAAATCAAGCAAATCCCCCTCTCAGATTCCACAGCAACCAGAAGAACATAAATACTGGCTGGTGATTTGATTCATCAGCTTTGTGATGGAATAAAAAATGCACAGTGCATTTCCTTAGCTGTGGGTGAGTCCACTGACACCACTGACAATGCTCAGTTGCTGGTGTTTGTGAGTTGTTATGATGAGGCAAAGGGGGAGTTTGTTGAAGATGTGTTGGGCCTGACGAACCTCAGTGGACACACAAGGGGGCAAGACATTTATAAAGCAATAATGGGAATGCTGAATGAAAGAGGGTGCAGCTGCCTTTATTTATAACTGTGCAGCTCTTACACTGCGACTCTGAGGGATCAAGCACAGACACAATAACAATGAAAACTGCTGCATACAGATTATTTTTGTTTTTGCAACCTTGTGTTAAGAATCTTGTTGCAATTGTTTAAAAGTTTGAATGACCGTAATAAACGGACCTTTGTCTTATTGAAACATTTATTTTGGACCTTTAAGATTTGTATTTGAGTACCCCTGCCCTACACCCACCGTGAGTACCCTAGAAACCGAGGAAAACCCTCCCTCCGTTCCGGTATCCCCGGTGACGCCCACTCAGGACAATTCCCCACCTGTCACCCCCGGACTGCGCCACCCGAGCACAGCCACCCCCCCCAGTTACCCCAGACGGAGGTAGAAGAGGCTTAGTCTGCAGTATTGGAGGTGTGGAGGAAGAACTGTGGCGGCCTAAATCCCGAGCAGCAAGAGCAATTGGGGCAGCTTCTGCTAGAGTTCCAGGGCAGTTTTGCCATGAAGGAGGAGGAGGTGGGCCGAACGCATCTGGTGGAACACGAGATTGATACGAGGGACTCGCGTCCCATCAGGTGTCGCCCGCTCCGACTTCCCCTGGCTCGTCAGCAGGCTTGCGACGAGGCAGTGCAGAGCATGCTGCAGGCAGACATTATCGAGCCCTCCGACAGCACCTGTAGTCATGGTCCCGAAGAAGACAGGTGGCTGGCGGCTGTGCTCAGAATACAGACCGGTGAACGGGGTCACCAAGAAGGATTCATACCCCCTTCCCCGCATCGATGAGTCCCTGGACCTGGTCGCAGGGTCGTCGTGGTTCTCTTCCTTGGACCTCCGCAGCGGGTATTACCAAGTCCCTCTTGCCCCAGAGGCCAGACCAAAAACGGCTTTCTGCACCGGCCTGGGACTATGGCAGTTCAAGGTCCTCAGTTTTGGGCTGTGTAATGCCCCGGCCACCTTTGTTCGATTGATGGACAGGGTGCTGTCTGGGATTCCCCGCCAACAGTGTTTGGTTTACCTGGACGACATCCTGGTGCATGGCAGCTCGTTTGAGGCGGCCCTGGGATCTCTGAGAGTGGTGCTGGAGAGGATCAGAGCCGCTGGTTTGAAGCTACATCCAGATAAGTGTCATTTCCTGCAGAGAGAGGTCACTTTCCTGGGCCACAAAGTGGGGGGGGGGGGGCATCGGCACCCTGCATGAGAAAGTGCAGGCGGTCACAGGCTGGCCAAATCCTCGCAACCAGAAACAACTGAAGAGTTTCCTGGGCCTGGCCTCGTACTACAGGAAGTTTGTACGGGGTTTTGCTTGCACTGCCGCACCCCTGTTCCAGCTGCTGCAGAAGGACAGGGATTTCCTGTGGTCTGAGCAATGTGAAGCAGCGTTTGACGGCCTTCGGCGTGCCTTGAGTGAATCCCCGGTTCTCGCCCCAGCCAACCCCAGGCTGCCGTTCACCCTGGACACAGACGCTAGCGGCGTTGGGGTAGGCGGAGTGCTCTCCCAGACTACTCCAGAGGGGGAGCGGGTGGTGGCATACTTCAGCCGGGCGTTCAACAAAGCGGAGCGACGATACTGCGTCACCCGCAGGGAACTTTTGGCAGTGGTGCTGTCCATCAGGCACTTTAAGTACTACCTGTGCGGGCAGGCGTTCACGGTGAGGACGGATCACTCTGCATTACAGTGGCGCATGACGTTCAAAGAGCCAGAAGGGCAGGTCGCCAGGTGGCTAGAAGAGCTCCAAGCTTTCGACTTCAGGGTGGAGCACCGGGCTGGGGTGCGCCACACAAATGCAGACGCTCTCTCCCGCCGCCCGTGTGCCGCCGGCGGATGCCACTACTGCGAGAAGAGAGAGACTCGTGAAAAGGAGCTGCTGGAGGAGGACATCGTCTGTGCGGCAGCGCAGCAAGGGGAAGAGGTTATCTGCCGGGAGCTCCAGACAGTGGATGTGACAGAGTGGAAGCAACAGCAAGAGCGGGACGCCGTTCTACAGCCTGTACTGCAGTGGGTTGAGTCGCAGCAGCGGCCACCGTGGGAGGAAGTGGCAGTGCTCTCCAAAGCAACCAAGGGGCTGTGGTCTCAGTTTGAGACTCTACGTCTGTGTCAGGGCGTACTACAGTGGGCGTGGAAGGAGTCAGCAACGGGGGAGAAGAGGTGGCAAGTGGTGGTCCCGAGGGGTCTGCAAGAGGTCGTACTCAAGGCCATGCATGGCAGGCTCTGGGCACTTTGGCGTCACTAAGACTCTCCGGCGCCTTCGTCAGGGCTGCTACTTGGGGCAGTGCAGGAGGGATGTCGAAGACTTCTGTCGCCGCTGTGATCCGTGTATGGCGCGGAAGGGCCCCCCTGGTCGTTCCCATGCTCCGCTGCAACAGTTTCCCGTCGGGGCCCCGATGGAGAGAGTAGCGGTTGATGTGGTGGGGCCTCTACCCTTGTCAAACAGGGGTAACCGCTACGTTCTCACGGCCATAGACTACTTCACAAAGTGGCCGGAGGCGTATGCTCTCCCTGATCAAGAAGCAGAGACAGTCGCAGATGCCTTGGTGGCCGGCATGTTCAGCCGTTTTGGAGACCCTGCACAGTGACCAGGGGAGACATTTCGAGTCCCGGGTGTTCGCCTCCATGTGCTCACAACTGGGCATGCACAAAACACGCACCTCCCCCTTGCGACCACAGAGCGACGGACTAGTCGAGAGATTCCATCGCACCATGGGACAGCAGCTGGCCATCCTCACGTCTCAGCATCAGCGCGACTGGGACGAGCATCTGCCCCTTGTGCTCATGGCATGTCGGTCTGCAGTCCAGGAGTCCTCAGCCTGTTCGCCTGCCCTCCTCATGTTGGGGAGAGAGCTTCGAACCCCTGCTGTGTTGGCGTTTGGTCGGCCACCAGATTCCCTAGACACGCCTCCAGGTCCTGAGTATGCCAGGAGACTTCAGGACCGCCTTGATTCCACTCACGCCTTTGCCCGCAATCAGCAGAAAAGTGCTGCGGTGAGACAGAAGCGGAACTACGACACCAGGACCAGAGGGCAGCATTTTCGGGCCGGGGAGCTGGTTTGGGTCTACAGCCCACAACGAAAGAAAGGCCGGTGCCCAAAACTGGACAGTCAGTGGGTTGGTCCCTGCAGAGTACTGGAGAGGGTGGGGGAAGTGGTCTACAGGGTGCAGCTGCCACCAAAGGGGAGAAAAGTGGTGCTCCACAGAGACAGGTTGGCTCCGTACAGAGGAGTCGCTTCCCCACAGACCCAAGGAACATCGGGGTCCCCTTGACATCCCCACTCAGGCCCCCCGGCAAACAGAGCAGCAGTCCCCCATCAGGGACTGAGAGTCCCCCCATTTTTTCTCCGCCTGGGCCAGATCCGGCAACCCCGGTCCTCCTGACCCCAGTCCCCCTGCCGAGAAGGCAGACACGACCCCCGGGTCGCTTCAGAGACTTTGTGTGGTAGTAAAGTTATAGTGAGACCCCTCAGTTCCTGTAGAGGGCAAGAATGCGCCCTGGTCTCACTGGAAGGGATGGTAGTCCACCCAGACCTTCCTAGTCAAAGTACAGTGTGTAGATGTAGTGTTGTGCTGTGTTTATTTGTTCCTCGTGGGCGAGGAACTTTGTAGTGGGGGGGTAGTGTAGCGACCCTGCATAGGATGTCCAGGGTGTCACTCAGGCATCCCCCGTCTCTCTGCCAATCATAGAGCTGCACAGTGATGCTGCACAGTGATGTGGTTGGGGGAGGGCGGGGAGTTGTGACGTAGACACTGCTATATATATATATGTGTAGGGGTAGGAGTTGTGTTAGTGTGAGGTAGAACCCACAAGGTGTACATGTACCTGTGATCATCTGTAAAGAACAAGAGTTATTAAAGCCTAATAACGAGAAGCCTGTTTCCGACTCACCTTGTGAACGCTACAATATTATAACTTTAGGTGAACAGAAAGCCACCTCTGGGAATGTTGAGTTATAGGCCTACTTTAATTGTTAAGAGATCTGTTTAATGTGAATGTTGGTTAACACAAGTATTTTCCCTGTTTGTCTTCCAGATCCAAGGAAGGAATTGTCCCAGAGAAATGTCCCAGCAGAGAGCAGAGACCCAGCAGAGGAGTGGCTGCTCTCAGTTCGGACAGAGTTCATTAAAAGAGTATCTCTACCTCTCCTGAAGGACCTTCTGGATAAACTCTTTCAGTTTGAAGTGATCAGTGAATCTGAAATGGAGTCAGCCAAAACCAAATCCCAAAATGACGGAGCACGAGACGGAGCACGAGAGGTGGTGGACGTGGTGCGAAATAAAGGAGCTGCAGCCTGCAGGGTTCTGATCAATGCTCTCAGAGAGCTGGACCGCCTTCTTTACGAAAAGCTCGACTCAAGTCAGCGGCGCCGGATTTATTTCAGAAGTGGGGGGGCCAAAGAGTGCGTGTGTATGTGACATAGCCTACTTGCCAACCCTCCCGATTTTTGCGGGAGACTCCCGTTTTCCTCCCGGGGTCATATTTATCCCGCATTTCTCCCGATTTCTGACTAAATCTGATTTGTTTCATTCTAACATAATGCACCAAATGTTACTGTTTCCACTCGGACTTCAATACAGCTACACCATTGTTTGGTTTTCATGGTAACGTGTCTCTTTAGTAGCGCGAGCAAATGAAAGTCTGAGAGGGTCTTCAGGAGGAAGATAGTCAGAGAAAACAGAACAAGAATGGACAACTCAACCCTCTGCTCACTCCTTTCCTGTACATTAAACTATACAGACCAGCCCACATATGACAGCGCAGTTGCTCATTCCATCTCTTCTTTTTTCCTGCTACGCTCTTGTTTGACAAGCTGAATGTTGACTGGTGTTTGACTGAAGTAAGCTCTGTGAAAAGTTCCAGTTATTAACTCGGTATTTACAAAGCTGTCATCTCCACATTTGGAGAAAGTTACAAGCCGTAGCAGATCTGCATATTTCACAGAAGGCTCGTTTAGTGGTTTTGCAAATAATTAACCACTCTCTGTTTTTGTACCATTCTGCATTGAAGTACCTTCTCTTTGCCCAAATAAGCTTTTATTTGCCCGTCTCAATGTCCCGACAACAAACCACCATGCAGTCGGAACCAGCCTGTTTCGGTTCAACGATGCCGGCGGCGGCGGTTTTGACAGCCTCTGCGGCCGCAGAGCTGCTGCTGGGGTTCATCTGGCTGCGCTGGTTCTATGGTTGAAGGACCAGGCTCCGGAGGTGGTTCTATGGTTGAAGGACCAGGCTCCGGAGTTGTGGATGTCAGGGATGTGACATTCAAGTTGTTGAATTTCAGCTTAGTTTGACTGTATTTTGTTTTCTTATGCGCCGGTTCTTCTAATAATAATAATAATAAATAATATTTTTATAGCGCCTTTCAGGAAACCCAAGGTCGCTTTACAAGTCGGGTAGGGGGGGGAGGGGAGTAGGGGAAAAAAGGCAGACAGGTTAAGGGGGTGGGGGGGGGGGGGGAAGTAGCGGAAAAGTAAACCTATTAAACTAACTATACAGTGGCGAAAGCCTTGGTAAAAAGGTGCGTTTTGAGGGCTTTTTTGAAAATGTCCAGGGTTGGGGCGCTGCGGATTTCGGGGGGGAGAGAGTTCCAGAGGGTGGGGGATGCCACACTGAAGGCTCTGTCACCAAAAGTCCGCAACCTGGTGCGGGGGGGTGGAGAGGAGATCCTGTCCAGATGATCTTAGCTTCCGGGATGGAGTGTGGTAGCGGAGAAGGTCAGACAGGTATTGGGGGGCGAGGGCATGGAGGGATTTGTAAGTCAGAAGAAGGAGTTTATAGGTGATACGGTGCTTGACTGGGAGCCAGTGTAGGTGGATCAGGGTGGGGGTGATGTGCTGCCAGGGCTTGGTGTGAGTGAGCACCCTGGCAGCCGAGTTCTGCACATACTGGAGCCTGTCCAGGGCTTTACTGGGAACCCCGAACAGGACTCCGTTGCAGTAATCCAACCGGGAGGAGACGAATGCATGAATGAGGGTCTCGGCCACGGAATCAGAGAGTGATGGTCGTAGACGGGAGATGTTCCTGAGGTGATAGAAGGCAGACTTAGTGACGGATTTGATGTGTGACTGAAATGAGAGAGTGGAGTCAAGGATGACACCCAGGTTACGGACTTCGGGAGACGGGGAGATGGAACAGCCGTCAATGTGGAGGAGGAGATCCCCAACCTTCCGGAGCAGTGCTTTGGGGGCCACAACCATGAGCTCAGTCTTCTTACTGTTGAGTTTGAGTAGATTTGCTGTCATCCAGGTTTTTATGGCGTGGAGACAGTTGACCAAAGACTGTGGAGGGAGCTGGGCGGATGGTGAGGTGCTGAGATAGAGCTGAGTGTCGTCAGCGTAGCAGTGGAAATTGAGACCGAATTGACGTATGATCTGGCCAAGGGGGAGCATGTAAATGGTGAAAAGTAGGGGACCAAGCACGGAGCCTTGGGGGACACCATGGTTGACTGGGGCCGAGGGGGAGGATGAGCCGCTGATGCTAACAAACTGAGACCTGGTTGATAGATAGGACTGAAACCATGACAGAGCTGTGCCAGTGATGCCAAGGTTGTTAGAGAGGCATTTCAGGAGGACTGTATGAGAAACAGTGTCAAAAGCAGCAGAGAGGTCGAGGAGGATGAGAATACTGATTTGTCCGGAGTCAGCAGCGAGAAGGAGGTCATTAGTGATCTTGAGGAGGGCGGTCTCTGTGCTGTGATGTGCTCTGTAGGCTGACTGTAGGGGTTCGTAGAGCTCATGGTTGGACAGATGTTGATGAAGCTGGGCAGCGACTGCTCTTTCCAAGGTTTTGCTAAGGAAAGGAAGGTTGGAGATCGGTCGGTAGTTGTTCAGCTCCTCAGGGTCCAAACCAGGCTTCTTGAGGATGGGAGTGATGGAGGCGGTTTTGAAGCAGGAGGGAACTATACCAGATGACAGAGAGGAGTTGATGATGTCTGTTATGATGGGGCAGAGGGTGGGAAGGCAGGCCTTGACCAGCACCGTGGGCATGGGGTCAAGGGAGCAGGTGGAGGCCTTAGCATTGGTCACCAGCTTTGAGACCAGTGGAACATCCACTGGGGAGAAGGAGGAGAGAGAGCATTGGGGATTGAGGGGTTGAGCCGGGTGTGTGCATTTCTGTGTCAGGGGCCAGTGCAGAGAGGGGGAGGGGGCGGGCACCAGGAGTTGTTGATGAATGGAGATCACCTTAGCCTGAAAAAAGTTGAGGAATTTGGAGCAGAGGTCAGGAGCTTCAGCAGTGTGCGTGGCAGGGAGGGGGCGGAGCAGTCGGTTGATGGTGGAGAATAAGGATCTGGGGTGATTTTGTTGTGAGGTGATGAGGGAGGAGTAGTAGGCGGTCTTGGTCTTGGAGAGAGCCTCCTTGTAGGACCTTACATGGTCCACCAGGGCCATACGGTGGACGGTGAGGCCAGTTCGTCTGGAAAGCCGCTCCAACCGACGACCAGTTTGCTTCATTGTGCGAAGATCAGAGGTGAACCATGGTGCCGGGCGGAGAAAAGACACCGTCCGGCTTCTGAGGGGAGCCAGAGAGTCCAGGCTGAGAGAGAGGGCAGTGTTGTAGCGGGCCACCAACACGTCCGGCGAGGTGTCGGAGAGAGCCGGGGCCATGTGGGTTATGAGGAGGTCTGATAGGGCTGATGCACTCACTGATTTGGTGTCTCTGAAGGTGATTGTGCGCCTGGGGCGCTGCTTGGGCAGGGGGATGGGGATGGTGACTTCTGACATGTTTGCAAGTTTATCTATCTAGGTTAACGGCTGACACACACTGAACAACGTAACACATAACGTAAACAACGTAACAAATAAACACATAAGCTTTGTTATTGGTTGTAATGTACATGGATACATTTGAATGGTGTGACAATGTCCTATTTGATTGGATTAAAATGTACATGTTCTTCCTGTTATGTCTGCCTGCTGTATTTTACCTAATGCAAAATGACCTGCTCCATCGAAATCAGTCGCATTGATCCGAAGACACATTTTGAGTTGTATACACTGTTGGAAAGAGGAGATTCCTAGCTTTCTATCAGGATTGTTTTTGTACTCCAAATATTAAGCAAAATATGTCACATTATATAATGACTGTCATCATTTTGAGAAAAAGGCCTTCAAAGTTTCCTCTTCTCTGGATCGATCTGATTGATTATTAGCGGAGCAAATGATCAAAGTAGTACGGAGGAAAGATATTTTCGTTTGGATTACTGGTCTGGGGAAGCTCGCGAGTGTGTGTGTGTATATACGTGTGTGTGTGTGTGTGTGTGTATACGTGTGTGTGTTTGTGTATTTTTGCGTTTGTTTCCCGGGGAAAACTCTCAGGAGAAACCCCGGCTGTTGTTATGCTTGCTGTGACGTCAAGTTACTCCGTTCTCCGCTTGTAATTATGCCATTAAAAGCTTCAAAGCTGTATTTATCATCTGCATTTGCCGAAACAAGTTTAATATTCTGAATGCCAAGACTTTGTTTATTTGAAATCAGATGAAAACAAACTGTAACGGACCCTGCAGTGTTATCTATGATTACTGTGCCTTACATTCATAATGTCAGCAGAGGGAGGGGAAGCGGCGCTGTGGAAGAGCAGAGTGGCGAGTGAGAGGCGAGCTGTGTTCTTCCCTTTACAAGCTTAAAAAATGCCGGTAGATAATGAGATTGAATATAACAATAAAAAATAACAAAACGTCCGCTGGTGCATCATAAACACGTCGGATAGTGAAAGTGCATTCGGATTCTCTAAAGTACCTCTTCTCCTAAGTCCTTTTGAATTCTCCTATCCACTATCCCTTAACCCCATGACGTTTCACTCAGAGGTCAAGGGATAGACGATAGGGTTAGACGTTAGGAGCTGATTTTTGGACTATTCGACCACAACCTTGGGCTATAAAGGAACTACAGCATGGTCACATGACTTCACGTCACCACCGCTAAGCTAAAGGTGGCTAATGTTGGGAGTGATGACATTTATTGCGCACTTCCACTACAGCGCGGTTTAAGGAGGCCATGCCTGGCCCGTTTTTGGTTGCGTTTTCACTTGGCGTGGTTCCGGCTAGCGGGTACTTTTTCAGTTTTCTGGCTCTCCAAAATCGAGGTTCTTTCCGGGCCAACAACCGGGCTGAGTATGCTAAACAAAATAAACATATTTTACCGTGATTTAATTGTAATACACGTTTCAAAATTATGCCGAAGTAACAACATACTGATACCGGTTTGTAAAAAACATGAATTAATGCTTTGACAAGTCTGCAGACGGACGGCAGGCGAAAAACTTTTTAAAATGTGTGTTTTCTGAATGGAGATTGGCTAAGCCAGTGGTTCCCAACCTACTAACTTGAATACAAATTCAAGTTAGTAGCTATTAATAATAATAATTTCAATTTCTATAGCGCTTTTCACGAAACCCAAGGACGCTTTACAATGGGAAGTAACAACAACAACAAAGTAATAACAATCATACAGATACATAGGCTGAAGAAAACAAAACATGAACAGTTTGCTGGATACTGCATATTAGTTGAGGCCAAAGGCCTGAGTGAACAGATGGTGTTTGAGGTGTTTTTTGAAGGTGTCCAGAGAGTCTGCATTCCTGATTG